CCATGTGTCTGGTGACATGGTATTGCTATCCGCTTACTGGTATAGCTTGGGTCATTTCTTAATAGTCTTTTCCTGGGATATAATGCAATGGTAATCAACAGCTAGCTCTATGTCAGACTCTACCACAGAGCAGTTAGTGAGGGCTCCAGGGTGGCCTACTTTGAATCACTTCCTAGCTTTGTCACTCATTATTTGGGTGAATCTGGAAAAATCACCTGCCCTACAGTATCTCCCTTTCCTTACCTTTCCTTACCTTTAAAAGGGAGGTTTTAGGGCCCAGCAGATGGCATGGCAGTTAAGGTGCTGAACTACCAAACCACAGTTCAAGTCCTGGATCTGATGGCTTAAGACTCATACCAGGTGTGTGTGTATGCATGCCCAAAATCCAGACAGGAGAATGGAGGAGAAGGGACTGTGGTGTGGCCATCCTCACAGGAGAAGGTAGTGATTCTTACTTTCCCTAAAAATAGTGAGCTTTAACAGTGTGTTTCTCCCAGGATATTGAGAGCATCAAGTGAGGTGACAGATCTGTGTCACTTAGTGTGTAGTAGGTAATGAGCCTTGTTAGCGAATTTAAATATTTAAATTCTACAGCAATACTTTTGTTTGAGTATCATTATTATACCCATTTTATACATGAGGAAATTGAGAGTCAAAGTGAAGAGGTTAAGTGACTTGCTCAGGGACACAAAGCTTTGAGTCAGTTCTGGGCTTGAACCCAGCTCTTCTGAGGCCAAGTCTGTTCCACACATTTTTTTCTACAGAAATCTGTTTTCCCAGCTTATGGACCAAACATCATGCAAAGCCAGCCATGAGCAGGTCCTGCTTAATGATGTATACATGTTATCTCATGTTGGTGCTGTGTAGCACAAGTAGTAATTTACAAAATGTTTCATACATTACCTCTCCCAGCCTCAGTCTTACCATCTGTAAAATGAAGCTGCAGGGTGAAGGTGATCACAGACACTCAGGATGCCAACCTAACATGGCAGCCCAGTCTGGGCGAATCCTGGTCCCGTTAGCTGTGTGCCTTGGTGCATTTGCTCTGAGCTTTAGCTTTGTTATCTATACAATGGGAATGATTTTTTTTTTCCCCAACACAGTTGTTAGAAGATGAGACAGATGTGAGGAAAGTCCCTAACACAGAGTAGGTGCTTAACCCACTACGCTGTCTGACATTTCTATTATTTGTCTATGTCCTGGGAATAAGCCTTCCCTTTCTCCTCTGAATGGGAGAATAGGCATTTACTGTGTGTTATTCAATGCTTCTTACTAGCTAAGGTGAATACTACTATAGCATTGTGGTTAAAAATACAGACCTTAATTTAAACAGCTTGGGTTCAAATCCTCACTTCACCCCTCGCTAACTGTTACTTTCAGCAGTTTTCTCAACCTCTCTTGCTTTAGTTTTCTGTCATTTAAGTAAGTACCTTAATTCAGGGGTTGCTGTGAGGACTGAATGAGCTAATTTGCATGAAGTGCCTAGAATATTTAGGTCCTTAGCAGGGTGTGCTAGTCTGTGATTCTAACTTAGGTATGTCCAATCAGCAGCCCTATACTCAGGTTGAGCAAAACTCAAGTCTTGAAGGGTTTAATATGTTCTTTGTGCCTGCCTGCAGTGTTTGACTGGGATTTCCTGTTATCTCTTGGGTCTTGTTTAATAAACAATAACCACTCACGGTCTTCCTACAGTAAGCTTACCTTAGGATTTTCTTTCTTTTTTTTTTTTCCTTTTGTCCAAAAGGAGTAGATGATAAATGTAAATATATCTCTGTCCTGATTTGAGGACTGTACTGATGAAAGATATGACTGGGATGCTTCCAGAAAGAAGAAAGGAGATTGGGGCCAAGTGCTGTTAGGATGAGAGGGAGGAAGACACATTACATGAACACAAGCACGTAGAGATAGCTTAGTCGAAATGTCCTGGGGTGGGAGCTGTGGCACTTTTTCCAAAGGCTATATTCCCCTGCCTGAGAATCCTTAGGGGTGGGGCGTCTCAGACCCTTCCAAAGTCATTGGACAGCTCTAAGGATTGCTCCAGGTCTTACACATGGGCTTCACGCCCTCAGTTCTCCTAACTGGCAGCTCATCTATTTAGTCAATGCATTCCTTCTCTGAGATTTCCTTTGACAGCCTTTGAAAGTCTTGCTGGGAAAGTCTTCCCAGCTCATATTTTTTCAAGGGTTTCTTTCTTTCTTTCTCCCCTCAAACTTTATTTATTTAATAAGAGAAAGAGAGAGAGAGAGCGCGCGCGCGAGAGAGAGAGAGAAAACACACTCCCAATATGGCCTTGACACTGTGACCCACCCTCATTGCCAGCCCACCTGGATCATGGACTCATGCATCCCTGATGTCCTTAGGGAGGTCTCCAGGCATGAACCCAGAACTTTCCCATGTGGGTCAGTCTTGCAGAGAGCATCATACCCAACCACTGTATCACTGTCAGGCCCCCAGGGCTTTATCTTTGTCTAACCTCAGAATATATCAGCTGAGAATGTCTTGTAAAGTTTCTTTCAGGCTGTATTGTTCTCCTGTGTAAGATTTTACTTGCTGGTGAGATCATTAAAGGCTTGTTCACTTGGGTAGACTTTCTCCTTCTTGAAAGCATGTGGCCCAGTGTATAGATGGCGCTTACAGGGACTGGAAACAGTGAGATAGGCTAATAGGCTTGATGTTTAGATTTGGGGAAACAAGAACTACTTTGGCCTTAACCCTAACTTTGGACTTATGTAAGTGGTGCTTCAGCCATCACTCTTTATGCACCAATGAATGCATAAGTCAAATCTCTGAAGCAGTGTTTCTCAGTCACTCAGCAGCTACTAAGAAAATTTTCTGCCTTGGGACCGGCAGTTAGCATAATGGCTATGTCGCTGGACTCCCACGTAGTCGACCGTGGGTCACGTACCGGACCCGGTGGCTTAAAACTCACGCCGGGCGTGTGTACATGCGTGTCCAAGATCCTGAGAGGAGAATGGAGGAGAAGGGATTGCGGCGTGACCATCCCCCCCGGGGGGTGATTTCTCGCTTTCTGTCTCTCTGTCTCTCTCTGTTTGTCTGGCGAGCGCACGCGCCCTATAGCGAAAACCTCTCCAAAAAAAAAAAGGAAAGAAATTTTCTGCCTTCTCTGCATCAGTTTGTTGTTGTTTGTGTTTGTTTGTTTGCTTTGAGACAGGGTCTTTTTGTGTCTTTATTTTCCTATCCCAGCATTTCAAATGGGCTATAATCCTCCTGTTTCAGCCTCATGAGCCACCAGAATCACAGGTGCAAGCTACCATGCTCAGTCTTTAGGTTAGACCAGGAACAGAACCCAGGCCTCCCATCCTGTAGAGCACAGCATTTTAGCAGCATGCCAGCACAGCTGGGCCTTTGTGTCAGATGTTAATCTCTTCCGGTGCACCTATGCCTTATGCTTCTGAACACCCTCTATGGTGACAAGACTTGCTTCTTTGACTTTAAATGCTCCATGTCATTCAAGGCCATAGCTGGTAAGGAGGATTAGCAAACTAGTTCCTACCATTTGTGGTCAGAAAGAAATGGTGGCAAGTAAGGAGAGGGATTTCTCATGTCTTGCAAATTGTCTCTGAAGACAGTTCCCAAAGAGGAGTCTCAAGATGAAGTGAGCTCTGGTGATCTGATTGTTGTAAGTGAGTAAAATATCCCAAGTTATTCTGAAAGATCAGGTTTATTTGGATGAATTCTGCTTTTATAAAAGAAATGCATCTTCCATACATGACTTAGTCCTATCAGATAGCCCCTCTCTAAAACTCAACATCTTATTAGAGCACAGATGAAGATTTTTCAAGGCATGAACAGTGTAATCAGTAGTTACCACACCCTACCCCTCCAACCACCTTTTGCTAAGCTAATTGTGGATTTGTGAGATGTTCAGACGCTCCTGAAATTTGCTTTCCTAAGAAATTATAATCATAAGGAAACAACCCACATACTGTTTTTGGTTGTTGGACTATTTAAGAGCAACTTACAAATTATGGACAGATAGAATGAAGACTTGATATGAGAGACAGAAAACCTGGTCTCATAAGCCTGGCCTTGCTACTGACCTGCTGGGTGTCTCCAGGCAAGTCAGTTAGTCACTGAACCTGAGGAAGACACAGAGCTATCATGAGGACTTAAAAGGCTCCTGGACTTAATGGCACCCAGCCCAGTTCCTGCCTCATAGTAGGTTTTTAAAAGTAAACTACTTAAGGGGTTTTATTTTTGAATATGAAATATAGGCCCAGAGTACAGATCCAAGAGATGCAAAATGCTGAAGAGGTTATTGGCTTTTTAAAATTTTTATTCTCCTGTTGTTGTGTGTAAGAATTTGTAAGAGGCCTTTGCTTTCTAGGTGGTGATAGTCTTGGAGATAAATGTGATACCCCTGGAATAGATGAGAAGCTAGGGGACCTAGTAGTAGGTTTACAGTAGATGTTGGTCACATCTGAATCCCACCACCTTATTTCATTAAGTATGTGGTAGGTGTCTGCTTGGGGGGAAAGGAATAGAAGAAGGGAAGGGGAGAGACTTTATGTAATGGACTAACTCGCTTTGCATAAATGAATACTCAACAAAAGAACACCAAAAGGGAATAAACTGATTGACTCTCAACAAGTCCCACATGTTCTCCTGTTGCCGGAGAGATGGGAATGAGAGGCCAAAGGTTCTCCCACTTTTGCACAGAGGAGAACGTGAGGGGAGTTACTGGCAAAGATGAGTCATCATAATTATAGACTATTCTTTTCTGCTTAAAAAGCCACCACTTTAAATGTGACTCCCAGCAATTACAAATCAATTATAACCTACAATCAGATCTTCAATTTTTCAAGTCTGTGTAGTCTCTAAGTGTAGATATAAATCATTCTTTTATGTTTGAGGTCAGGAGTTCAGTAAAATCATTCAAATGGTGAGTCTAAATGAAGCTAACTGGAACTAATTATCAATCAGCCCTTCTGATAGTGAACTGATGTCCTCATAAAGGATTATTTTGTTGTTTCTTCCAGGCAATTTCTTTCCTCACACCTCTGGCTGTTATTTGTGTGGTGAAAATTATCCGGCGAACAGACAAGACTGAAATTAAGGAAGCCTTCTTAGGTAGAGTATTTGCAGTTCTTGCTTTAGGGGTTGGGCTGAATTTAATTAGATTATTACATTTTATAAAAACCTCAGTTGCACCCGACTGACTTTTCTTTTGGTCAAATTAAGCCCGGGAGAAACAAGACAAAATAAGCTTTAAGCCCAAAGAGCCAGTGTGCAGTCCTCAGTCAGTGATCTTCAGGGCCGCCCTCTGTCGCTGTCCATCGTGCTGAATGTTAATAACAACTCTTACACATCAGAGCTCTGTGCTGTCCAGGCACAGAGGCAGAGGTAGCTTTTGGTGATAAGGCGAAAACAATTCTGAAACTTGGTCACCCCTGATTGTCCAGTCTCATATTTGTGACTAATAGGCCCACATTATGGGCAACCCAGAAATCAGCATTTGCTAGATTGATTTAGGCACCAGCAAGTGTGAAATAAAATAGAAATTGGAAACAAGCCCCATACCTTATCTTCAGTTTGAAGGACATTTTGGCAGTTAACAATTGTTATCTTGTGAATAATGCTACAGTCTTTGTAATTGATTATACATCATTGTTACAAATATGCCCCAAGATGAGTCATATCTGCCTGGGACGATTGTTTAACATTTTAGGGTTAAATCTGTTGTTTTTTTTTTTTCTGGTCTGCATATTACTCAAATGCTGAGTAAATAACAGCATTAAGAGATATCCAAGACCATTTGACTTGTTTAGCAATGAAAATAAACTAGCCTGTAGTCAGATTTTCAGCTTGAAATATGAGGAAGTCTGAATTAGGTTGATTTCTGACACTTCACATAAAATTACCCAAATTCTCACCCCAAAATTTGTTTTTGGTGTGTTGTATGCATGCTACCATTGAGGAAGTGGATCTGGAGAAAAGAGGTTTCTCACTGAAGGGTATGTTTGTTAATTATTGGGCTTTGAAGAAATGAAAATGTGGCAGAATCTGGTCCTCCTCTTTCCTGATAAAGGAATGAGCGTGAGGGCTAAATCTAGGATATGAAGAACAGTCAAGAGCTTTCTTACCTAACTAGGCTTTAGTTAGACCTTGTCTCATTCAAAAGGACAGAATCACTCTCAAATTAACTAAAATAAATTAGGGGTTTAATTACAGGGGTATAGCATACAGTCTCACAGACTTCCAAGAATAGGGGCATGAAGGTTCAGTAATGCCCTGTGGGGACTGGAGTGGCAACCTGGGCCATTGAAGGTGGTGATGGCCCTCTTGGCTCATGACTGGCCAGCTCTGTCTGAACATGCCTTCCCTCTTCTTGTGTTTCCAGCCTTATCGTCCTTCCTGGACTTTGTTTCTGCTGCCCCACTGTTTTGATTTGTAGGAAACTTGAGCTCATGATGGTGATTGCTTCTGACCCAAACTTGTTTGATTGTCCAGCATTGGTGTTCACCACCAAGTCCACTGTGTTTCTTGATCCAAACTTCCTAGACAGAGACTGTGACTCTCAACTCATCTCTCCAGCCTGGATAGAAAAGTCATGAGTTTCTGGCTAGTCTGTAGACCCCACTCAGGTCAGATGTGCCCAGGCTGATTATCTGTGGCTTGGCATTTTGATCACTTGGTCTCAGTCTCCTGAGCTGAGATGCAAGAAAGATTCATTTTTCCACAAAAGGGCATATCTGCTCTCCTACATGTGGCTTGAATGGCCAGGCTATGTTTAGACAAATATTATTCTGGTTTCCAAAATGTCCTGCTGGGACCTCTCTCAGTTCACCTGGCAATCCCTCTGCTTCACGATTTACTCTAGTGACTCCCCTGGCATGGAGTCCGAGGGTAAGTGTCTGTGGGCAAAAACTGTCTTTCATAATTATGGTTATAATTTACTGCCAGCTTTTGGAGTTGGGCTGTTGTTATAGCTGTAAGTAACTCACCATTACCTTCTCCAAATTTTTTCGTTCTCAGCTAAATCTCCCTTAGGATGATATTTCAAAATGGAACACCATACTCTGTCTCCTATATGTTAACAAAGAAGGTGGAATTATTGGATGTTCTGTTTGCCTCAATAAATGAGAGCCTGCTTTATAAAAATGATGAAGAGCCCCCTATTGTGCAGAGTTTTTTTTTGTTTGGTTGTTTTTTTTTTGTTTGTTTTTTTTTTTAAACCATTACTGCTTTTAGAAAGCCTTGAAAGTAGGGGGGTAGAACAGTAATCTTTAAAAACCAAGGACAGGAAACTAGCTGTAGATTTTTTCCAATGCCATCTGGAATTCAGGACATTCTCAGTGAGGGGGGTTTAGTTCTCAGGGTTCTTCTTTACTCAGATGTGTTCTGCAGACTTTAACTCTGGCTTCTGAAGCTGGACTTCAAGCACTCCTCTTATCTGTATGTACACAGTGGCCACATTTGTGCGTCTGGTGTTGGATGAGAAGAGTGACGTTTGCCCCCCACAGCATCAGGCTTTTAGGAATTCAGACTGCAGAATGGCCAAGTTTGTATGACAGGGAACGCTGTAAGAAAGTAATGCTAAATTTTCAACAATGAGAAAAATAATAGCAAAAGGCTTCTAATCCTCTGAAATGTTCATAACCAGTAGTGCCCTTAATACAGGCAGATTGCAAGCCAACTTGCAAGGCATGTTGCTTTGGATTTCTTTATCAGACATAGTCCAGTTTGTTTTTCTGCCTCTTCTCTCAAACCTACAGTGCTTTGGGGTGCTGGATAAGCAGGCTTCATAAACCAGGCCCACTGGCTTGTGGCTAATCAACAAGTGCTCTTGATTGGGGTCATTTGTTTCTCTGCTCGTCTGACCTATCATACATCTGATCTCAGTACAGCCTTCTCTCTGATATCAGCGAGAGGCCCCTTGCATTGGTCCCCTAGGGATTATCCTATTCAGATGAAACTATTAATCAGTTTCATTCATTTCCAAAATGCTTAAATGATTTCCACACTAAATATCATCACTCCATTTTCCCATCCCTCTCTGTCTCCTTTAGGCGTTTGGATCAGAGTGAACTTGCCAGTTATTGGCAGTTACATTGCATCCATATATTTTCCAGCTCATCTGCTTCAAACTTCTTTGAAGGCTTGCTATGTGTTGGGATAGGCCCATCAGACTCAGAGGTTGGAAGAGTCTATAGCATTCTGAATCAATGTAGCTGTGCATAAAGTTCACCAAGATTTATGTGGGGCATTTGGAGATCCGCTAGTAATGTCTGTTCCCAGAGACCTTATCTGCGCTAAGGCCACACTTGGACCAGGATAAGAAAAAGCCTGGCCCTAATGGGAAAACCTGTATTGTGTCTGCCAGGCTAGTCCTAACAGAGAAAAGACCACAGTCAGGTCTCTGTTGTCTTTCTTCTCAGAATACAGTGAAGATATCCCTCCTCCTCTCCTCCCTGCCAAAGAGGCCTCCCTCAGCAGCGTTCTGAGCTTGTGAGAAAGAAGGAAGGCCGGCATTTTAGGAAGGAAAAGTCTGTGGGTGTGGAACACAGTCAGTGGATCTTTCCAAGTTCCCCCAAGCTTGGTTCCGATGTATGCACCTCAGCAGTGTGCTCCTTGTTCTAAGGGCAGGTCTGTGTTGCTGGCTCCTGATCTGCTCTCCAACTTTGTGGCCTGTCCTTCCTTTGCCATCACAGTCAGATATGGCCAACCTGCTTCCCATCCCACACTTGGTGATTAGATTCCTTTTGACGAAAATAGACATTTGAATATATCTTTCCCATTCTCTTTGCTTTCAAAAGCAGGTCGGTTTTGGCCCCATCTCTGAGACCTGTGACTTCACTGACCCTGTTGGCCATTCTATAGTACTTCCCCTGGTAAAATAACTCGTTTGTCTTCCTTGATGGCCGTGAATCGCTCTAGGCAGCTCCTTCCCGAAAATGCCCCATCCACTGCTATATTTTAAAATAAATCTCAGCTAGTATTGAACAGTTAATATTTGCCAAAGGAAAATGGTAGCTTGCACGCTTTATTATTCAACAAAGCAATGGAAAGGGGTATCGATAGATGTTTGTGGCTTGGGCAAGGTATTCGACCTTCCATCACATTGATGGCGCTGACGGTGCCTTTTATTAACTCTTGGTAAATCACAGGGGAAAGGGGCAAGCGTTTTGCAGGAAGAGCTTTGTGATTCATGTGAGCTCTGTGATTCATGTCACTTGTACCATTTGGACCATCTGTACTTCACCCAGCAAAGTTGTTCCAAGCGGCTTAGAAAAAGTTGTTACGTTATATATTTTGAAATAATGCATTCTAGAGGTTCTTGCTGTTTTAAATGGCAAAATAAACCAGCTGAGCAAAACTTCTTAAAACCCAGTGAGGTTTTGGATGCTTCACCTCAGAAACAGTGATCTGTCTGATAACAAATGGACAGCTGTCGGCGAGTGGTGGGTCAACAATAAGCTAATTGGCGAGTGGGAATGTCCTCTTCTGCAGCAGGGTTCCAGCGGCTGCTCTGATTAGAATTATGTCTGAGGAGGTTGCCAGGAGGAAATAAAAAAAGTTATGATTCTTGCTACCAGTAAAAGAAATTCAACATGCTGTAGTATTAAATCTGTTCATATCAGGCCAGAAAATGATAGATGGGCTTCTCTGCGGTGTTCAAAATTTCAAGCAAGGAAGAAAGATAAATTTCATGTCATAGGGGCTTGAAATTTTATGAGCCACTCTCCAAAGTCCTGTCCCAATTATATTTTACTCTTGTTACCCAGACTTTCCTCTGTTTTTAAAGTATTGTTCATATCTGTGTGGTTATAAATAGTATTATAATGTAATGATGATGACAACGATGGTGGTGGTGGTGATGACAGTGGTTTTCATGTGAGAGCCAGGTGCTTATTTTTCCATCTGTTGGTTTTGTTTTATAGCGGTGTCCTTGGCTCTTGCTTTGAATGGAGTCTGCACAAACACTATTAAGTTAATAGTGGGAAGGTAAGTTCCAAAAAGAAACTAATGGTGGCATAGATTATCAAAGTCATCTACTTAGGAATATTTGGCCAGAGGACACTGGATGGGACACATCTGTACTCTTTTGGTTTTCTCTTGAATTATTGTCCTTCTAGGCCTTCCATTCTCAGGATAGACCGCTCCTCTCCTTTGAATTTAGAATTCATTATTTTAGAAAGGTGGCCAATAGTAAGTAAATATCCATTGACTATACTTTCTTGGTAGCCAAGGCCCACTGCTGGTATTACCAGATTCATTTACTACTATCCCAAAGCCTTGCCACACTCCCTTTCACTTGCCAGTATTTTTTTAATTTAATTTAATTTTTTTTTTTTTAGAGATTTTTACTATAGGGCATGTGTGCTCACCAGAGGTACAGAGTGAGACAGAAAGCAAGAAAACACCCCCAGAACGGATGGCCACACCACAATCCCTTCTCTTTCATTCTCCTCTCAGGGTTTTGGGCATGCACACACATGCATCTGGCATGAGTTTTAGGCCACAGGGTCCAGAACTCAAAACTGCAGTCGCCTACATGGGAGTCCAGCGACAGAACTGCCATCTGCTGGCCTCACCAGTATTGGTTCTTAATAATTAATCTAGATTACTTATGTATTATTCTCTTTTCTGGAGATGCATGGATTGGCATTTGAACTTTGGTTTATGGTATGTTTCTTTTATTGTCCTGGAGAAATGATGTGTGCTCCCGTTTATGTTTCCCTCTTTCTGGCCCTGAGCTAGGCTGTAGATTAGCAGTCTAAAGATCTGAATTCAAGGCCTCTTTTAGACCTTGACTTGCTGTTGGTCTTAGATGAGTTAGGTCCTCTCTTGCAATGTCAACATTTGCCAGTTATCTACTTGGCACAGGGTGCTGGCCGTACAATGAGGGGCAGGAGAAGCATGAAAGCCAGGCAGTGCATGACTTGTGCTGCACTGCTCCTCCAGCTCTCATGCTCAGAGTTACTGTGGGGCTCTGATAGAATGCTGATTATCAGGTCTTGTCTCTCTTGAGCTCTGGTGCAGTAGGTGGACAACCACACCTGGAGAGACACTGGCCAAGTAAGGGAGAGAATACCAGCAACTCTGATAGGTGTTCAAGGCTCTACCTAGATCCAGCAGCTGGGAGGCTCATGAGCCAGGATGTGTGAACTGTGACCCCATAGCACAGTAACAGGCCACTGTGTTCACAGTACTAGCAAATCCTTGCCCATGGTACGCAGTTGGAAAATAGTAGAGCTATTGTGACATGATAGACCATTATACATCTATGTAAGAATCCACACTTGACCGAGGCAGTTAAGCACTGGTGAAGAATCCTCCAATTGCTGTGGTTCAGAGCTTGTCCTTGTCTGTTGTTGGTTTCATATGACATTAGGGAAGAGAGTAATAATCTTAAGCCTTTATTTTTCCCCTGTAATATGAAGAAAGCCCAAGAGTCAGCCTCAGGATTGTCTAAAGAATCATATTTGATATATGGGCAGTGCCCAACACTGTGTCTGGTACCCAGTAAGAATTCACTAAATATTAGCTGTGGTTGCTGCAGCAGGCTCTACTTCATGGCCAGGGTCAACCCATTTCCTTCTTGAGGGCTCTCCACCATGATCTGAACCAGAGAAAGCAAACAGGGAGACTATGTTCTCTGCATCTTGCATATGAGCTTCCCAGTCCTCTCATTGAGACTAAATGAGATGATATTTAAGAAAGTGCCTGGAGTCTTGATTCTGAAAGCAGCTTCTGAATTGATAAAGCCATAACTCAAGCCTGGGAGTAACTATTCCACAGGTGTCATTCCCAGGTGCCTCTGTAAGTCATGTCACTTACTCCTCAGGACCTCACCTTGCGTTAGGTAATTCCCTCTTTTACAGGTGTGGAAACTAGATTGAGAGAAGCTAAGTGACCACCCTTAAGCTCACAAAAATAGTGAGTGGTAGGTAGGAACTCCCAACTCAATCTTTCTGAAGCCCTAGAGCCTAAGCTTTCCTCCAAATCTCCATATCTAGAGTGCTGCATAGGAAGGTCCAGTGTTGCTAGCAGGGGGCTTGAGGAGGGAGCTGGGGGCAGCGGGGAATGGTGGGGGCATCTTGGGGGTTTGTTTGTGATGGCAGCATTTTATATTGAAAATGTCCATGGTGTCTTTTGTAGACCTCGCCCCGATTTCTTTTACCGCTGCTTTCCAGATGGAGTGATGAACTCAGAAATGCACTGTACAGGTGACCCAGATCTGGTGTCCGAGGGCCGCAAAAGCTTTCCCAGCATCCACTCCTCCTGTAAGTTCATGGCTCAGATAGTCTGTATTTCTCCCAGTTATGTTTCCTGACTACTTTCTTTGAGAGTTTAGATGGAGACAATAGCTTTGGTATGTGCATGCTAAGCACCATTCAGTTTGCTTCACTGTAGGGTGATTGGCTTAGAAACAAGGTATTTGACATGAAGTAATAAGCCTTAGAACGAGGCTCTAGAATTTATAAGACATTTTATGTGCTGCTTTCATGAACTCGGCCAAGTGTAACCTTTAACACTTGACTCCTTGACAGTACAATTCAGGAATTTGATGGCACAAGAGAATTCACTGTTTCTTGAGAACTTACCTTTTTTAGGTTATTGTTCTCTGTAGTGTATTTCTTCAGTTAAGGTACTGTGTGTATATTTGCATATACAGACACACACACACATGCATACACACTTACATACATACATTCACATTCATATATGAGTACACACACACACACACATACACACACACTAATATATGGTTTGATTATAATATGAGGGTTGGACCAGCCTTACAGCGAAAGCAAATAATATGAATCAGGACAGTGTGGTGTAGTAGGAAGAACACAGGTCTTTGAAGTGGCTGGGTCAAGTGTTAGCTCTGTGACTTCCCTCGATGTTTCTCAGTTTCTACTGTGTAAAGTGGGAATAAGAATGCCTCCCTTGTGGGTTAGAGGAGGGATTAAAATAAGTGGTGATGATCACTAACATTTCTGGAGCCCCTGCTATGCCAAAATGTTTAGGTACTTATCTTATTTAATACACTTAAAATATGTAAAGCACTTAGTTTGCTTTAAATAAACAGTAATTACCCATATTATTATTTATTAAGAGAGGCGAAATTTCTAGAACATCCTGGCTCCTGTCATTCCATCGGCTGTTTATTGCCTGACTTGGGTGCTGGGCACTATGGCAGGTGTTGGGCATACAGAGATCAATTCAGACTGTGCATGCCCTGGGGAGTCCACAGGTAGTGACACACTATGATTCTTGGAATAATTGGAGATCTGTGACCACTAGTGACCACTTGGGAAAAGACTGGCTCTTCCAATGATAAAAAGTCCTGGTCCCCACATGTGTGATCTTTATTTATTTACCTTTGGCAAGACTGTCATCTTAATCTTTTCTTATTTTCTAAATACGTAAGACATACTCTAATAGTGGTTCTGTCAAGAAATCGAAATGCTGGTTTCTATAAACTGACTATTGGACATTTTGCTCCCAAGCCATTGGAGACTAGGGCCTGTCCACAAAATATTAATGTGCAGGCACTGTACATGAGTCAATGTCAACATGCACAACATCCTGCCAGGTCAGGGTTGTCCCCGTTCAATATACAAGGACACTGAGGCTCAGACAGGTTTAGCAGCTTGTTTAATCCTGTCTTAGGGCTTTCAATGATCAAATACAATAAAGCATTCATGGAGTTAATTTAAATAAATAACTCTTTTTCTCCACTAGTTTGTTGGAGACTGTAGTGGGTTGTGTGGTGCTCCTCTTCCCGCCAAATATGTCTAAGTTGTAGCCCCTAAAATCTGTGAATGTGTGCTTATTTGGAAAAATAAACTTATTTAATAATATTGTATTGTATACTAGAAATTCACTAAAAGAGTTGATTTCAGCTGTCCTCACCACACACACACACACACACACACACACACACACACACAAAGGTAACTATGTGAGGAGATACATATGTTAGCTTGCTTGATCATATTTGTGTATCTTTTTATTTTAAAAATAATGAACATTGTTCCATATGCTGAAAAAGAAAAGAGAAAAAGTCTTTCTATATGTAATTATGAAAAGGATCTTGAGATTGTCCCAGGTTTAGAGTAGCCTCTCAACCCAGTAACAAATGTTCTTTTTTACAAGACAAGTTTGTTTATTTCTTTAATGAGCATGGAAGACAGGCAGAGACAGAGAAACAGAGAGAAAGGCACCTCTGACCGGGTCTTCAGGCTGCGATCCTACCCCCAGCCAGCTAGAATCATGAGCACGTGCATGTGCACCTGACATGCGGAGGGAGCCCTCTCAACCTTCCCAGGTGGTCTCAGTATCACAGAGCATTGCATTAGCACTGCATCACCATGGCTGGCCACCAGATGTTCTTATACAAGAACAGCGGAGTGATATTTGAGACCAAGACAAAACTGAGAAGGCCAAGTGAAGTCAGAGGCAGGGACTGAACTGTTGCAAGCCACAAGCTAGGGAGCACCTGCGGCCACCAGATGCTGGAGGGGGCAAGGAAGGATTCTTTTTTAGGGCCTTCAGAGAAAGTCTGGTTCCACCAACACCTTGATTTGGGACTCCTGGTTTCCAGAACTGGGAGATAACGACTTTCTGTTGTTTTATGACACTGAGTTTATGGTCATTTTTTTCCAGCAGCCATAGGGAACTAATACAGTGTCTCATGTTGGACACTTAAAAATTAGTGCAGAAGATTTGGCTTTAAAGTTGAGGGAGATCAAGAGGAAGCATGTTACTGTGTGGATGCTTATTTAAAATGTCTACTGAGTTAATGTGGCAAGAGGCACTATAATGCACGAAGATGCAGGGTTCAAGGTTCTTCTAGATCTCAGTTATTTCTGTGGCTTAAGGTAGAACATCTATTTGGAGTTGCTTCCTCTACAAATTTGGTTTTTCGCTATGAAGTCACATTTTAAATGAGTGTTTTGGAAGTGCTCTGGGTGCCAGCTGGGGAGGATTCCTGCCGCATTAAGGTATTACTTCTTTGTTGTCAGGGATTCCCATGAAGCATTATTTCAAAGCACCCAGAAATACCATTGACCTGGGGTCGGCTCCATCCATTTTCTACCTGTATTGCTATAGGGTCAGTCAAATTCTCTGTGTATTCTTTTTAGGGACATGTTACATGCTCTCAGATACTTGGTACTGAATATTAAGGGACTTCAAAAATTGAAACCACTAAGACGTGATTTCTAACCTTAATTCTGGCCTTTTGAAATGTTGACTAAAACTGTAGCACAATTCAGTATCTACTGTTGCATTTGAACTTGGGAAGAAAAGAGTTCTCATGTGAGTACCACAAGCTGGCAGATTGCTAGACCTCAGAAATTGGAGACCAGCCCCCACAAAAATGTTTAAGATGCTCACTCTCAGGACCAGCAGTTAGCATAATGACCGTATCGCTGGACTCCTATGTAGTCGACTGTGGTTCAAGTCCTGGACCCGGTGGCTTAAACTCATGCCGGGTACATGTGTGTGCATGCCCAAGATCCCTAGAGGAGAAAGGAGGAGAAGGGATTATGGCATGGCCATACCCCCTGGGGGGTGATTTCTCGCTTTCTGTCTCTCTGTCTCTCTCTGACTGGCAAGCGCATGCGCCCTATGGCAAAAACCTCTAAAATGGGACCAGCAGTTAGCATAATGGCTATGTCACTGAATTCCCATGTAGTCTACCGCTGTTCAAGTCCCGGACCTGGTGGCTTAAACTCACGCCGGGTGCGAGTGTATGCTTACCCTAGCTCTTGAGAGGAGAATGGTGGAGAAAGGATTGCGGCATAGCCATACCCCCTGGGGGGGTGATTTCTCTTTTTCTATCTCTATGTGTCTCTCTGTCTTTCTGGTGAGTGTACACGCCCTATAGCAAAAACCTCTCCAAAAAATAAAAAAGAAAGAAAGAAAAAGGAAAAGATGCTCACCCTCCCTTTCAACAACCAGAAGCATTTCTGACATGGCTGCCCTTTGCTGCCTTGTCAAATGCATGGCTGATATCTGATCTATGCTAGACAAGATTTGTGGCAGAAACTCTTATTATCTTTTGTTTAAGATGCTACTTAAAATATTACACATTCTTTTACTAGTTGGCAGGCACAGAGTCCAAGCCAGCCTGTAGGCTTTTGTGATAGTATTTTCACCTGTTGTCTTTTCCCTTTTTATGACAGGTCACAGATTGGCTTGACGGGAGCTGCTATATCCACTTAGAAAAACTATCAGTGCTGGTACCTCGATTTCTTATTGTAGCTAATCGGAAGCCTAATGGTTGCCGTGATTGTTTTTCAGAGGGGGTGACTCAGTGGACTTCCATATTAATGCAAATGCTCTTTCACCCTTAAAAAAATCAGTTTCCTCAGGTGGACTTGAATGAGTGGGCAACAGCAGTGACTGAGAGGTCCCCTAAATCCTATTTCCCATGCCAGGTAGCTGTGGGCTGTTTCTGCTCTGTTTGCAGATAGTGGCAACTGGAATGTAATCCATGTCCCCAAATCATCCTGCAGAGCAGTTGTTTTTCTCTGCGCTTAAGAAAAAACATTGATTTCTTTCGGAAATAAAGGCTCTTGTTCTTAATCTGCCATAAGCAGCCAAATGACACTTGCCTGAAGTGTTCACATGGCATACTGTTAGCAAACAGCCTGTCCCCCATAGTGGTCTTCTTTTGGGACTTGTCTGTAAGGTGACCTAACGTTATTCTTAATGGGACAAACAGAGACCACCATTTCAGAGAGCAAATGATTTTCTTTCAGATCTAGGAGAAGCTCAGGATTTAAAGTAGAGAAAGGCAGTATGCCTTTCCCAGAGTGCAGGAAGAAGGGATATTCTGAAAAGAGAATTGCCTCTCATAGCATAATTTTGATTTTTTGATATGTATTGATTCAACTCCCATAAAGAAGATAGATTTAAAAGAGAAAAGTTTGAAAAACAAATTATTGATATGAAGAAATGACATCAAGCTGTTAAGAAACATTTTTCCTGTAAAATAGTGAGAATAAATAAAGCAGTGGTATGGTCCAAGTGTCAGCAAATGATAGTGTGTGGGCTGCTCGTTCTGTAAATACAGCTTTAGTGGAACATGGAAATGCCCATTCGTTTACATCTGTCTATGGTTGCTTTCACTTTACAATGGCAGGCTGAGTACTTGCAAGAAACATATGGCCCATAAAACAGAAAATATTTATGCTGGATCTTCAAAAAGTTAATGAAAAATATATATTATGTAAAAACTATGCATAGACTTCAAATATTTTTGCACCCA